ATTTGCCAATGGAATTAGTATTTTTAATCTTCAAATAAGGTTTCTAGATAAAATGCCCTTGAAATAAGACAGTGGAATTGTTTTTTCTTATTTTAAAGTGTAAATTGTCTTGTTCCATTGGCAAAGGGTCTCACTTAAATCCTTAATTCAAGAAAAAATGCACTTATTTTAAGAAGAAATGACTTATTTAGATTTCATTTTTTTGCAGCGTACATGTGGTCGTGTTACTTTTGCAAGGAACAGCATGTTCTACTAGTTGCTCTTACGGCTACCTCGCCATCTAATTAGTTAAAAATTCCACAAATTCCTCAACTTGGGCTCATCTACTGCCCTCCTGTCACTTCCGAAAGGGACAGACGCGCTGCTGCAGCACCTGGCCTGCCTGGTGCATTTACAACACAGTTGGGCTTTTTAAATATCCTAAAGGAAGCTGCTGAAGGGATGCTATGAGCAAGGAGAGGATGGAATGTTGGTGCAAGTCTGGACAAAAAAACTATATATCCCGACCACACCCTGAAAGAAAAAAACAAATTGACCCAAAAGAAGTTATGATCCAGTCACCTAGATGTTGAAAGAAGGACATAAAGTTGCACAAACTGCCTCCTTGCTTCAACTAAAGCAGGCATCCCCAAAGTCGGTCCTCGAGGGCCGCTGTCCTGAAGGTTTTAGAGATTTCTCTGCTTTAGCACAGCTGATTCTGATGATTGCAGTTCAGCAATAGCCCGTTAATCAGCTACCAATGTAAATGAGCTGTGCTGGAGCAGGAAACCTCTAAAACCTGCAGGACTGCGGCCCTCGAGGACCGACTTTGCAGACGCCTGCCCTAAAGGGCGATGATCAGCGATGACAGACTGACTGCTAGTGGGGATAAAGGCACGCGTCGGAGCGTGCATGTTTATAGAGAGGGATAAAGGGATCAGTACACAAGGTCTAACCTGGGTCTCTAAGTGCATTATGTGCTCAGGTCCAGAAGATCAGAGGGGGGGGAATCCTGCAGCAGCACTGAGGAGGAAACGTCATCTCATCCACAGCTTCTGGCAGAATATCATAAACCAATCTTCCAAAGCTGTTGCTGTCGTGTTTTTTTACAGCTTCACATTTAGAAGCGTCTGTGGACCAACTTCAGGGGGAAGTTGCACAAACTGCCTCCTTGCTTCAACGCGACTCACTGCCGTTTATCCCGCTCGCAGTCCAGCTGCACAGCTTAATCTTTTGTTTTCTCAGGCCTCATCTTTGCCGCACCGTCCCTGGCTACCTGTCAATTCATGCTTTATCCGGCCTCTTATTGGATGAGCGCGAGCCCTGCCACCTGCAGCTCATAGGAGGTCAGCCAGCTGAGAGGGTTAGCTCAGGTATGCTTAGATATCCTACCATGCAACCAATCAGAGGGACTAAAAGGAACTGACCAGTTTTTATTATGTTTACCAAGTAGAGCTGGTCAGGTAGTTATAGGAAGTAGGCCTTTTGTTCTAACCCAGCAGCTCTACAACCATGGGCTGTTCTAGAGAGGGGCCGACGGGGGCCAGTGCCCCTGTACTAAAGACCTGATACACAAAGAAATTCTAATGATGAACAAACATGGTTACTGATAGCTCATTTGGATCTATTAAAATTTGTTTCCCCCTTTACAAATTCTGTTTTACTAATTTTTTATAAAACAATAAGATGATAGCTTCAGTGGTATTGAGATAGGATCCTAGTTTTTATCTGCTAAATGTTTTTTTCCAAAACAACTTAAAAAAAGTACTCTTGTTTTTGAAGCTGAATTTATCAGTTTTTCTCGAGTTCTAGTTCGATTTTTATAGAAAACTGCCATTTTAACTTAAAGTCAAAAATATGTAAAATTCCTAAATTATGAATGAATATTCACCTGATAAGACATAGAATTTTAATTAAATCTAATTGAATAGAAATTTCACTTCATGCAGCCGTTACATACAGGAATCCCTCGCCCTGTTTTTTTATTTCATGCTTTTCTGTTCCCCCATGAAAACACGCTGGCCCCCCAGTACATCTGGTCTAGAACCGCCACTGTCTACAACAGAGTGCCTGCACAAAAAGAGGAACCATCAGTGTTTTTTATATCAATGTTTAAAAAGTCTCACCCCGGATGAGGAAACATACATGCAACTCCTGACGAACAGCAGCAGGATCTCTTTTATGTGCATCTAAGCCAAATCTGTAGCCTGGAGGTGGAGAACAGCTGGGTGTGTGCTGCTGAGCTGCAGCAGTCTGCAAACCAAACACCACCTGCCTAAATCACAGGCGCAGCAGCCTGAAGAGACTTTAGAAGGAAAGCGGCTACTTAGATGCTGCAACCGGTGTCATTTTACGTGTCATTTCCTGTTAACATCAAACAAGAAGACATTTTAACTTGGCTTCAGTTATTGTACAGAAGCAGCCATTCCAAATGGCCTTTCCCAGTCAAACCAGCTGAATGGCAGCCCACTTCCCTGCAGTGACCCCCCTATTGCATATTTTTCCACCCTTTCACTGAACTACAGGGTCTGACCAGGAGATGATGCTTCTCTTTAGATCTTAAAGTCCACAAATTATGAGAATATTTTAGTACAAAGATTGAGGTTTATAAAGTAATTGGAACCAGCAAAGGAAAGTGGGGAAACTTTGATGGCTACTACTGTAAAGGAGGAGAAAAACAAAAATCAGTAAAGTGATTTTAATCCTCTGCCATCATGGGAAGAACAACTGGTCCTGTTTGCATAAATTGAGTGTAAAAGTTAAATGAAGATGGGTGTTGATGGTTCAGGAAGTCTGATGGGGAACACCTGGTCCAGGTGGGGGACTCACCTCTCATTCCCAAACATAAAATAATTTAAAGCTGCAGGTCTTTATTTAAAGAGCGATAGTTAAGAGAGAAAATCTGGTTTACTTTTAACCAACAGGAGGAGAAAAAACAGATGATTAAATAAAAGAGCCAACCTTGTTCTCAGCAGCAGCAGGCACCGCAGGTAAACTGTGCGTTTCAGCGCGCGCTCAGTCCGGCTCCGTGTCTCTGATTCCCCGGGATGAAGAGCAAAGTTTCCACAGGAGCGCACAGCCGCTGGGCAGGATGGTTGAAGCAGACCTCCTCAGCTGCGCTGGTTTATGTTCCGCAGGTGAGCTGGGGTCACCGCCCACCGCTGCTGCGTTCAGGGACTGCTCGGAAAGAACTGAGCTCTACAAAGTCGCTGCTTGGGGCTCTAAAAGCCGAACAAGGAGCCGTAGAAATGATTGATCCCAGCCACTGCTAAGGTCGACCAGTCAGAAAACATTTAGGGATGTAAATATGCTGCTGTTATAATATCTAATATTATAAAACCTTCTGTCCAAAGGTAACACAACATTTTGACCTTTTATTATCTCTAACTTTCTTCTGTGCATCCTGTGCAGGCTTTTATTGTGACTCAGGTCATATTTAAGTTAGCAG